TATTTTAAAAGATGCATTTTAGTGTATTTTTCATATCAAAGATGTTCAGAGATAAACCTTCCTTATTTAGGCAGGCATACATTTTTGTGAGATGGACAAACTTTGTACAATTTTGTTTACACACCTTTTTAGAATTGTATTTTGTGGTTTCCAGTGGTTTTGCATGCTCTGTCACTCCAGGAATTAACATTCAATAAAAAGTGCTAGTGTTTTACACACACACACACACACACACAGAGTAGAGCCATAATCCAAGAGAAAGAAAAAAATAATTACTACAGTCTTGAATATCATTCCCAGTGGCCAGTGCCAGATAATGTAACCATCTTAGCTCTTCTCTTAGCAGATTCTGGAACAGAAGGAAAATTCACAGCCTGCTTTAATGATTAGCTAACAGCATGCCTGCTTTCTTTACCACATGAGCCATAGAAATTATTCCTACATTTACATGCCTGAAAATCTCTGAGGTGCATATGAACACCAAGGAAAGAATTAAAAGCTATCTTCCAGAAAGGCAAAAATTCAGGAGGAGTCTGGTAGGACCTTTTCCAACCTACTGTACAGGTAGTCCTTGACTTACAACGACAATTGGAACCGGAATTTCTGTCACCAAGTGATCCGGTCATAAAGCACGATCACATCACTTAACGACACCAATCCCTGCAATCCTGATTGTCGTTGTTAACTGAATCCCATGGTCATTAGGTGAAGCAACTTCCTGCTGGCTTCCCATAACCAAAGTCAGTAGTAAGCCAGCAGGAAGTTGCAAATGCCAGGCCAGCAGGCAGGTAAGTACTGCTGCCAGGTGGGGGAGGGAGTGAGGGGGTGCGGGGAGGGTGCAAGGCGTGCATGAGAGGCATTGCTTGGTCGGGAAGAGTGCATGGGGGTGCAGCGTGGATCAGGAAGGGTGTGTAGGGATGCGCAAGAGGTGCTGAACAGGTCAGGGAAGGCGCATAGGGGTATGTGAGAGGTGCCGCACAGGTTGGGGAGGGCGCACGGGTGCACAAGAGGCACTTTGTGGGTTGGGAAGGGCATGCAGGGGTGCAGCATGGGTTGGGAAGTGTGCGCAGGGGTGTGCAAGTGGATGGTGGAGCATGAGCACAGAGGACTAGAGAGGGTGCGACAGGTGGGGGAGACTTACCCCAGCGACTTACAACCTTCTCTGCCGGCTTCCCCATTGACTTTCTGAGGAAGCCACAGAGAAGGTTACAAATGGCGATCACATAATAACGGGGTGCTTGGCAACCAGTTGTAAGTGCAAACAGGTTGCCAAGCACCCAGATCACAATCACATGACCACAGAGGGTGCTGCAATGGCTGTAACTTCAGAGACTGGTTGTAAGTCCCTTTGTTCAGCACTGTTGTAACTTTGAAGGGTTGCTGAACAAATGGTCATAAGTCAAGGGCTACCTGTATACATTTTATGAATCCAGACTCTTCCTGTTTTTTTTGAGTACCATAGACTAACATGGCTTTCCTTCTACAACAATCCCTGATATGCACGCTAGCAAACACTGAGGAAGCAGAGCAATGAGGTTGATTAGGCTAAGGGCTTGTTAACAATGAACACGGAGTGTGCTGATAGAAGATCGCATTGTTATTTGGAAACCAGCAATCTGATTCTCTGTGGTAGAAGAGAACCTTACTGGACATAGCTTGATAGAGTTTTGATGGCCAGTGTCTGAACAACAAAGTACATATTCCCTGCCGTTTTTCCTGTGTCTTGCATTTCTACAGAAAGCAGCTTCTACAACGGCAAACTTCAGTCAAGGAAAGTGGGAGAGCCACTCTGCTATCTGCTTCTGGCAATCTGCCTGCCTGCACCTATATTGCTTTTCTCGTCACAAGGATAATTCGTTTCCTTAATGAAATATTTTTAGGCTGCTTTTAAGACCTTCTCAAGGCAGCTTCCAGGGGTGTCCTCAACCCTCAAATAAGTCAAGATGGGGTCCATGACCATACAAGAAAGGGACAGGGCTTTGATCACACAGTAGTGGCCACCACCCTGACTTTTTTGACCCCCTGTGGATGTTCCCAGCAACTTCCAAGATAAAATGCACAAAGACATTAATTGAAAGCGGTGATGAAAATAATCAAATGTTCCTTCAAAAAGAATACATTTTACCCCTGAAGTGACAGGCAGAAGGAAATAGAGGAGAAAGGGTCAGCCTTCCTCTTCCTTACCACCATTCTTCTGCCTGCAAGTTCAGAAGCTGCTTTTAGGCTGGCTTGTTTGTTTTAAAGCCAACATTGCAATAGAAATAGCGAGAAAAACAGCATTATCCAGATTCCAATCCGACTTAAGTTTGGATTCCAATCCAAATTAAGTTTCTGATTCCAGGCAGGAGACCAAACGCATGTGCACATGCGCGCACAAGCACAGACATCTAACTTTAGAGGAAAAAGAAAGAATAGATTGAATACACCAATTGTTTTTTGATTATGAAAAGCACCTTTGCTAACATTAAAAGAAACAACATCCAATAAATTGCCTATGGAATTGCACATGATTTTATAACAGAAAGGCTCCAAAAGATTTTGTCTTGAGTGTGCCAATTAACCTGTTTCTTTGTTTTTGATAATATGCTTCTCTAACAATTACAATTAACACTGCAAAAAAGCAGTGTCTTGGAACCAAAGAAGTACGTATTAGCCTTGCAACAGTGGAACTTGGGTCTTGTGAGACATTTGGAAACTCCAGAAAGACATCATCAGATCTTGCCTGGCACCCTCCTATAATATGTTGTGCTACAGCTCTAATTACCCCAGGCCAGCTATTGGCAAGAGGGGAGCCTAATCCAACACTTGGGACATCTACACTGAGGATTTGCTTGCCTTTTTAAAAATTATACTGCTCCCAGAGGTAGAGGCATACAGGGAGTACTGCTGTTTACATGACTACTCAGTCTCTCTTACGTTGACCTTGGCTGGATTTACTTGTCTTGCCTGTAATTTTATTTGTCTTGCCTATAATTTTAGTTTTGCTTTGACTTTGGCATCCATTGACAAAAGTGCAATTATTGCTATATACACCATATTGGCAAGAACCAGATATGGTTGTTCATTAAAATATGGCATCTGCATGATACTTAGAGCATAGTATCATTTTTTTTTCAAGCCAGATGTTAATTTGATCTGAATTACAGAAATGGTCCTTGTCATTTGCTCTAAAAGCAAATGTCTTAATCACTAATCTTAGCAGACACAGAAAACAGTTGCCCCATTTGTTGTTCTTGTTGCCCAGGGTCTAAAAAAAGTTGAAAATGTGGGTTCTCTGATAAATACCTTTCTTTTTCTTTTTTCTTTTTTTTAAAAGGAATGTATTTATTTTATGTAGGCATTTTATTAGAAGAAAATAATCCTATAAGCTCCCCACCCCCCACTCTTAAAATTAACAGGGAGCCACATATTACTTACATTAGAGATGGTTGGAAGGAAGGCTATAGTGTTGGCCAATTTCTGCACACATCAATGCCTCTTGCCTCAAGAATGTAGGACTATGTAGATATTGATCCAGATTCCGAAGGTCTTGTGTGTGTTAAGCAATAATACACACTGAGGGCACGTCCACATGAGGATGCCAAGCCACTTGTTAAGCAGCTGTTTTTCCATGATGTCAGCAGTGTTGGAAAATTAAGCTGCTTTATCTCCAGCTCAGCTGTGGCTTAGTTGAGAGTGCTGCTGATTATTCTTCCCTTTTTGGGTTGAGATGTTGCAGTTCCCTTTCTCCTTTGGTGGGAACTCTTGCCTCATTCCTTCACCTGGTTTTTGGGCTGTAGGTGCCACTAAGGGAAAGGGCTGGAGTGCCACTGCCTCTCAGCCATAGGAAACAGGGATAAAACAGACAGTGTTTTTGTTAGTTTCCTCTTCTCTTCACAGCTCTCCAGCTCCAAGGGAAGTTTTTCTATCCTTTTTGGGTGGGGAGGTTTGGGAGTTTGCTTTTGCTACAGCAGTTTTATGTCAGGCAGTGATTTTCTGCTCCTGGTTCTCAGGGCTTTGACTAGACTGAAGACAGTCCCAGCTTGCTGTCAAGCTACTCCTGGGAGTTTAGGGCAGCAGCAGCATCCAGGGCGGAGGGTCAAAAAGGTGAAGTTGGTGGTCCCAACCACACCAAGACTCACCCTTTTTGTATGTGCTCAGTGTTGCATGTATATACTAAGGGGCAGGGCTTAAATTGCATAGTCGCAGATATCCTCTTGAGTTTTTTTTTACCACTTCTCCCCATGGGTCATTAACCACTTATTTGCCCTGAACCTCTATCCATAGCTACCCAGTTTGTTCTAAGTGTACATATTACCACATGTGTAGTGTTAAAATAAGATTGAATTGCTTGGCCTTCTTGGCCAAAACTGTCACCTGCCTCTTGAGCAGGAGCTGTGAGCCCAGGAAAACTCCCAAGTTCTGCGCCAGTCCTGAATAGGGGAATGAAACCGCATTCAGGACTAAAAATGGGAAGTCTCCAGTTTCAGTTGGTCCAACTACCTACAGCCACTTGGGCAGGGTGCTAGGGTTGAGTCTGAGTCTTTTCCTCACTATCCAGACCCCCACAGCCTCCAAACCCTGAGACAAGACCTTGACCACATCACGTGGTCAGCCTGGGCTTAGATATATCATCAGCTTAGCGGTGATTCCTGACCTCAGAATGACAGGTCACCTCACCCAGATATTAAACAGGAGAGGGAGAGTGTCAAGCCCTGTGGCACCCCACATATCAGGGGGCTCAGGTTCAAACTCTTCCCCCACCAACACTGACTGGGACCAGTTACAAAGAAGGAGAAAAATCACCACAATACAGTGCCCTCTACTCTTCATTCCCAAAAGTGGTCCAGAAGGACACCATGGCCAATAATATTGAAAACTGCTGCACCAGATGACCAATGACATCTTTGTACCAGGTTCCAGTCTGAATCCCAACTGAAACGGGTCCTGGGCCCTCTGACGCTGTAGTTCATTTTTTTAATCCACTATTTGTTGAGACATATATTTGTTTGCATGTGTGTGTGTGTGTGTGCGCGCGCGCTATTACTGATATAGAATGGTTGAAAACCACAGC